TATATATATATATATATATAGATAGTATATATATAAACGTGTATATATATATATATATAGATAGTGTCATTAGTATCATTATATATATATAGTAAGTTTGTATATATAGTATATATAGTATATAGTATATATGTTTGTATATATATATAATGATACTAATGACACTAAAAATGATACTAATGCTATTTATTGCTACTGTATAGGTATATATAGATATATCGATATCTACCGTGCAGGTATGTATAGATATATATATATATATACGTATACAGTAGCAATAAATAGCATTAGTATCATTTTTAGTATTATTCTCATTTTTTCCAATGAAATCTTTTTTTGTTATTTACATGGTTCTTGACTGACGAAATTTAATTAATTAGCGTCGATGCCACTGTACGTAAGATTGTATTCACCGTCGGTGAACGTATGCGAACGTCAGTATTCGATGGTCGATGCACAATTTTCCAGTTAAGCTTTCTATATATAGTCCACTTACATAACTCGACAGTTGTTACTTCATTAATTCTCGTCTCGTGTGCAGTTAGTTACACCGAGCTGGTAACAGAGACCAGTAAAACTAGAAACGGAATTCATGGTAGCGTCTTTCACCTTGCTCACGAAGGATTTGAACGTCGTTGAAATCGCGTGAACGTTGATGAAAATAAACAGGCCGGTCTGCTGAGGAAACAAGCGAAATCAAATTGTTGTTCCACAGGTGTTGTACAGATCGAAAACGGAAACTAAAAACTGCGAATCTGAACAGATGTGTATGAATAAATTTCACGATGTCGGGGCTATTGAAGGAAATTTGAAAGAATCTTACTTTTTTGTTTTTTTCTTTTGACTTTACGAAATTTGAAACAATTCGAGTATTTATAACAAACTGTTGACCTTTAACGGATATAATAAGTATAAGCAATTACTATTTTACTTGGAGAAACACAACACACGAGCTAGAAATTATTACGCGTCACTGGTGGAAATCTATCATCATGGTAATAAACACGCTTTTTGTTCAAGGATAACATGTCAATCACACTCGGAAGCGTACTCATAAGCGATCCTGTGGACGTGTGTTGCGGAGAGCTGCTTGCTCGCAACGGCATTCCTGTCACCATCAAATACAAGCTGTCGAAGGAAGAACTGATAAAAGAGCTTCAGGTACACGCGAGGAGATTCTCAAAACAAAAGTTTCTCTTCTTCGACTGATTTCGTTTTAAAGAACTCGATTTTCCTTTACGCGATTTAATGCAACCCAAGAGTCGTCGATATTGTAACGAAGTATTTCTCGCTTTCACTTTGTCCCTCTTTCCTTCCCTTCTTCTCATCTCGCGTAATTGTCGCTTGCATTCAATCGCCGATGCAACCGGCTAGATCCAGTTTAGTCGCCAAATGCGAATACCGGTTTGGCTAGACGGGTCGTTGTACTTATCTGTCTCGACTCGACCGATCCCTTCCTCCAATTCACGAGTCTGCAGTTACACGCGCGTAAATTCGGAATAAGCGCGAAAAGAAAAAAGAAAAGGTATTCAAAAAAAAAA